TTACTCACCATAAAGAAAACAGCATAAGAAAACAGTTCAAAACACCGTTTGTTGTTGCTCTGTTAGGCTTAGAGAGCTTTAGGGTTGGGGCTTTAGGGTTGCTTTTGGGTTCAGGGTACGTATTGCATACTTGGAGCCAAGTACGGACAGTACGGATGCTCATACTACCCCTCCCCAACCGTTCCGGACCACCCCAGAGAAGCAATCGAGGAAGGGCCTTTATTCTGAACTCCCGCAGTATGAAGGTTTATGGTTTGGGGAGCCCTCAGCCCTGCGTATGATTCCTAAGTATGATTGCAAAGCTTAGAGCTTGAATTTGCTGGTGTTGGTTGATACGAATAGGCAGGTCGAATGTAATGAGAGATTTGGCCACTGTCCGTCTTTACCGCTTGTCTAGAGCCGGCAGGAGCTGCATCGAAACAGCATAGAGCTTGGCATGTAGCCTCACCTGGACCCTATGTGCGACGTTTTCTGGGCTCAGGATTTGTAGTTCAGGGTTAAAGGTCCGGGTAGCCTCCCCTGCGCCCTCGCGATAACGGTTACTCAGCAGGGTACTATCAGGCTTTCCATAAGGGCCGGTATCAAGGTTGCTGTAACGATGCGTGTAAAGTGTAAGAGCTAAGTGTCGATCGGATCACCTTCCTTTAATTAAGATGGCAAGCCGAACGCAAATTCATCAAACACAACTCCCACTGTCACCCAGCGCCCACCGGATAAACAAACCACCAACACCTTAACACAACATCACCAAGTATCGAACAAATCCAAAGCTGTAGCCCTAAACCGAAATACTTGAACCCATAATCGTCTAAGCCCTAAAAACCTGTAACCGCAAAACCCGATATAGTGGACTGACCACCCGTGGAGACCTTTTGCCTCGAGCTTCGGAGGCTCAAAGACCACGCCATCCACGGCTTTTGGGGATAGGATCAAAAGCTAGAGCCCTGATAATTCTTATTCAAAGTATGCGGGAGTGTAGGTACCTACAGCATAGCCTTAAATAAGATCCAGAAGCACCTGTCAAAACCTGACAGAACCTTAGTATATTCAAATCCCTATAGAACTTTGACCACACCCTTCCGAAAGCCTAGAAGTTGGGCTGCGGTCCTCCGATTTACCTGCTCCAACGTGCACGTTGCTCCTGGGGCTTAAGGTTTAGGGTTCAGGGTTAGGGGTTTAGGGTCCATATTTTTGGTATAGCTTTGGGATCCGGGGTTTAGGGTGTGTCGGGTTTGAGAATTGGGGTTTGGGACTTGGGTTTCAGGGATCTGGGGTGTAGAGTTCTACAGTTTTGAAGGGTTGGCCTTGAGATTTTTTGTCAGCCCTTCCTTGGAAAGCCGATAAACATAGCAGCTAAACAGATCTGTGTGTTCGTTACAAGGGGCCACCCATGAACTGACCCAAGTTTTGGAACAGCGCTTGGCGCATCAGTCTTCAGGAATACTACGGGGTGTCTCAGGAGTTAGAGTTCGGGGCTGTTTGGCGTGGCTCCCAACCTTGAAGCATGGTGTGGCCCTATAGAATACCAAGCCCATAAAACCAATTCCTTAAGCATCCCTAAGCCATTAATGTAGGGGTATATACAAAAAGGAACCCTAAAGAGGAATATGGGTAATTATTTAGGCTTTTTCACCCCCAAAATCACAAGACCCTCAACTCTCCACAAGCCGACGAATCCGAGAATGGTCATGTCGAGAGGCTTCTTCTGCTCCCCGATGGTCGTCTCCCAAGCGAAATTCTTGCGGCCGTCCTACAGAATGAACCCTGAACCCCTACACGCCTAAACCCCACTAAACCCGAACCCATCCTAAACCCTAAACCCTAAATAAACCCGAAGCCCTGAACCATGAAACCTTGCGACATTTCAGGCTTCCAAACCCTAAACGCCTGATGATGGGGGGTGGGGAATGGAAGCTCAAGCCTCGTGAAGGTCCTCTCGTCTGGCATACCTCGACCCAACAAGCATGTAGAAGAATAACCTTTTATAGTGTTGGGACATTATTGTGCCATTATTCTACCTACTTTTGGGAGTTTAGTAAGGGCTTAAGAGCCTTGGATATGCCATCATTGACCCAGGAATCACTAACAACACCACACCTCACACCCAACTGCGCTAAACCCTAACCGCCAAACACCAAAATGATTGAAGACAGGCTTGTCTCCAAAGCTAGGTGACAGCCAAGCTCAATCTCAGCTTTGCACCCTGGGTGGGAAATCAAGGGTTTATAGGCCTACTTTATTGTAGGTTTTTATTCAAATTACTACAACATAAACCCTCATATAATTTCTATAGTGACCCTACAAAAAATTGCTTTGGTAGTTCAAGGAAGAGCTTACAGTAGGGTTTATGGTACATCCTGGACTATCTCCGAAACGTACACAGCTAAGAGCTTCAAGTCCTTCAAGCTATCGAATGTATGTCCGGCCTACACCCCTGATTCATAACAGACATTTCACAATAAAGTCTCTGTCCTGTGGCAAGTAATCGTGCCCAACGAAGACGCGGGTGTCGTCGGGAAGTGCCATGATCCTGTTGACCCGAAGCGAAGGGGAGTGGGACAGGGGGCTGGACAGGGCGCTCAATCGCTCCACCCAAGATTAATGTGGGGTCTGTACTTTTTGCGCTCTTTGTCGTGTTCATGCCGCTCTTAATTAAACGGTGCCGCGGCAGCAAGGGGAGGGAGAAGCACGCCAAGGTATGATTTAAATATTGCTCAACCAGCACCATTACTGTTGCTACTACTGGAGGGTGCGTGTGTGGGTGGGTGGACGGACGGACCGATGGACGGACGGATGGACGGGCGGACACCCGCACAAACACACAAACACAAAAACCCTCCGGGATGGTACAACATTCCTGGAAGCCGCGACTGAGGACTCTGCCGCAAGCCCCGCTACCGAAATATTTCTTTATGCTCCAGGCTGTCAGGCTTTGTAGCGCTTACCGGGCTTATTCGTGCAGGGTCTTGGGCCTAGGGCTGACATGGCTTGTTGGGGTCCAGAAGGTTTGGGCGGATTTCAAGCTGCTTGGTGACCTAAAGACCTGCAGGACTCAGAGCAGCAATCACAACGTACCACAGCTGTGGGTTTCGGGAACGACCTTACTGCAATGCAGCTGCAGGCCTTGTCCTGACCAAACAATGGAACATCACTACCATCATCAGCATGGTTGTCATGAATATCATCACCATCAATAACAACAACATCGTCATGAACGTCAGCGCCTCCAGCATCGTAGGCGTCGTCCTGGCCGGCCTCGCCAATGGCAAACAAATCCTCGTGACCTTGGCCATCCTCATCCTCATCATCATCGTCATCATCATCTTCTTGTTCAACTTCACTGTCATCATCATCGTCGTCCTCATACCACCATCAGCATCGTCAACATCATGCTCATGACCTTCATCCTCTTGCTCCTCATCATCACCGTCATCATCATCATCATCAACCATCATCAGCAGCATCATCATAGCCTGTGTCATCATCATCGTCGTCGTCATCATTACGCCTTTTATGAGCACAACATCTGCCAAACTACGAGGTCTCCTCTGGATGGAGGAGTAAAGAGTTCGCGCAGAGCCGCCGGGAAAATCACATCTCGCTGATCCGTAATCCGGCATGAAGATCGTGTCTCCTGCAAAATCAGGGCTTACTTACGCACGTACTCAAGGTAGCACAATATACCAGTCTTCTAGACCCTTACGTGACGCTAAACTGCCATTAACCCTACATCTGCTCTTCTGAAGGTCACAACTTGAATAACGTTTAGGACCTAAGCCTTTGGCCTAAGACTTGGCCTGACCTATTTTGATCCAGTGCATTGAGAACCCAGAAGCTCCAAGATGGATCGGGCAAAAGAACATTCCACTCCCCTCTTAATGTGGGACCCTTGAGGAAGAGCGTTGTGGCTAAACAAAAGTATGCAATATGCAAAATTGAGTACGGGCCCTTGATGAGGAAATTAAAAAGAAGGATGCCGACGTTTGGAACGTTGGTGGGGATCTTTAACAAGGAACCCTCAGTTCACGCACACCGCAACCTCAGAGAGTAGCACCGCGGAATTTAAGTATAGCAAACAACAGCATGTTACCAGTCTGCCTAAGGTAGCAATGGCCATATTGTGGTGTTTATCAGGGTATGCTGTTCGGTGTATATGGCTTTGACAGGCTTTCAAAAGTTTTCTGACGATTTTTGTCATGGTCCTATGGGGTCTTTCTAGATTCCGCTGCGAAGCCTCGCAACTTCGAGCAAAACGCATTATGCGGGGGTCGTAATAATTCGAAAAGGGTTTTGGGGTATCTTATTTTGTAACGATATCAAGTAACCGCAAGCATAAGGTTGCTGATTTTCCCGACCTCCATACTATACTGCAACTATAACAAGATACCCTAAACTCTAAACCCTATGAAATGGAACACTAAACATAGCATTGCTTGTTTTTCACGACCTCCAACAATGTCTCTGCAAGGAATCATGTGCTGATGCGCGGACAATTTTCTCACGAGCTTCAATCTGGAGTGGCCTCCAACTGACAATTCAAGGGTGACGCCCGTGTCAGAAAAACGAGTCGAAAACGGCAAACACCAATTCAGAAGACCAAGAGGACCGAGTCAGAAAGCGGGGAGGCATGAGTCGGCGGCCCCAAGGGCAGTGACAGGAGCACCGGAAGAGCACCTAGCATGTTGGGTCACTGAATTGTCAGAAAAAAGTCCCAACACCCTCCGCAAGAAGAGCAAAAAGCCAACAAGCAAGCTTTGTCCATATCGCACTATATGGATTCAGAATCCACTGCCCCGGCAAAAATCTGTATGCGGCCGGAGACAAGTCCTGCCAGAAATTCAAACGTGAGGCAAAATCTGTACACGGCCACGGCTAATGCAATTTGGGCGCTGGCGGCATCCGCGCAACTAAAACGCAACTGGACTCGTTACTAGAACCAGCAAGCAGCCGCGACTGTGATGTGAGTCCGTCAGCAGTTTCGGGTTGAGGCAGGACAGCAATTACGCTTGCAGCGAGTTGCGGACGTTTGCCGGTGAGTGGCTTCTGTGAAAGGCTGCAGTCGGCAATTTGCCTGCTGCCTGCTGCGGCCTCGTCGCAACGTGCTCGCCGTCCGTGACTGCCTCGCCGCTTGCCTCTTCAGCTTCACGCACTGCCTCGAACGAGCTACCTGCATCCATGTCACGAACAGATTCAGACAATTCGCGTGACATCTGGCTGGAGTGAACGGTCACGATCGGGGCCGTGTCCAGGAATATGGCAGAGTTCTGCGCGAAATGAGTGAGGCAAGAGCTGAGCTCCAAGAAGACCGCGCGAAAGGAAATGTAGGCAAGGCTTCCTTGTAGAAAAACCAGAATCTCTGCGCGAGATACGGACCGAAGTGTGGCAGCTTGGTGATGCACCTGGCCAGAGTTTTTTTGGGCTCCAGGAGCCGCCTCTCTGCCTGTGCTTCAAAGTCGGCCTCGAGCGTCTCCGACAAAATTTCGCGCAAGAAGGCCCAGGCCCGCCCAGGTTGCTTGGCTTGCAGCGTGCCTTGCAAGGCTCGTCCAGCTCGGAAGGAACCATCCACCAAGTTGGCCGGGTGGTCGGCATAGTTGGCTTGCATGCTTAGGGTCCAACCTCTTTTCAAGTACGTGAAGCACATTACTCAGAGGCCACAGGGTTTAGGGCTCTAAAGCCTTTAGGGGGAGGTTCTCTATGGTTCAGATGAGTCGTCGAAACCCTGTATGTGCTATGCCTAGACGCCCTCGTCTTGCGTCCTGTGAAGAGTGCGTCGCCGATGTGGTAGCCTACAGTCTTGGTTTCATGGCATTCCCACCAGGCAGCAAACTCTACGACTTGGGATCACACGTGTCTTCAAGGACAGACTGGCTGTCAATTTCAACTGGTCACTGCGTTGTCATAATGCCTCCATGTGGGGGCTTCCGAAAATAGGGGACCCTAGTATAGTACCCTAAATAGTAGGATCCCTATTATACGGACCCCAAAATATGGTACCCCTTATGTTCGGAAATTCCCAAGTAGTAAACAAGATCCTCTCGAGACCACAGTAGGTTGAACTTCAGCATCTCTCAGAGGCCCACCCGGAATTATTGCACTTGCTCGACATGCGCTTCAGCGCCCCGAGAACCAAGATAAATCTAGCTTCAATACCGTTGTAGTGATACCTTGGAGTTGTACTCTACTCAACACCAAAAATTCCTAAGAACACTACAATGAGTTTATGTCTCAATCAGAGCTGAGGTCTCCCATGCGAGAGGCATGAAGCTGCTAGCCTACATGATGGAAATGTGGAGGCTAAGGTACGTATAGGGTTCCATACTGTCAGAGTCGAGATTTTGGTGCGATTTGATAGTTTACAGGGTTTTGAACACGATTCAGGCCTCTCTCAGGCCCGACCTCTTCAGTCAGGGTACCTTATATGAGTTCTTATCTCCCTGCTTAGAATTCGGGTTTTTCGGGAGGTCCAGGTAGGGTTTCGGAGAGGGGCAGGGACTCCACTATAGTCGGGACTATTTTTTGCATGCTCGCGTCTGTAGGGTTTGTAGGCCACAGGGTTTAGGGCGAAAGAGTTTAGAGTTGAAGGCTCAAACGGCATTGGGTTTAGTTTCACGCTTCCCAAACTCTCGGTTTTAGGTCAGATCTGCCCAGAGAAACCTCACTTACACACCAGGGTACCCTCCTTCCTACTCTTTGGTTTGAATAAGGGAACCCAAAAACCCAAAACCTCAAACCCTAAATCGAAATGACCCTAAACCCAAAGCCCCTAAACCCTAACCCCTAAACCCAAAAACCCAAGACCCCAAACCCTAAATCGAAATGGAGTCGGCTCGCGGGTTCTCGCGGCGCAGAGTGCGAAGCCTCGACTTCGAACCTGAGGCCTTGTACTCTCAACTCCTTGCGCTCCCTAAACCCTAAACCTAAACCCTCAACCCTAAACCCTCAACCCTAAACCCCTAAACCCCCAAACCCGAACCCCTAAACCCTAAACCCTAAACCCTAACCCCTAAACCCTGAACCCTAAATCCTAACCCCGAAACCGATACGCCGTCACCTCCGAGCCTTTAGAAGCCGAATTCCAACGGCAGAAACCAGGGGTCCCCGCCCTCCTTGGCTAAATCCAAAGGCCTGCACCCCAAATCCAAAAACGACTGTTGATGATATCAATCCTGCATTACCTTGAGGACCCTAAACTATGGGAATTATATGGTATATTCCTTATTATGGGTAATGCAAGTTTTTTTAATCATCAACCGTAGTATGCCTGGAAGCCCTAGACCCTAGCAGGGCTGGATGCGGTCGGCTAAATCCCCACAAAGCTCAATACACTCCAATTACCTACAATTGCTTTATATGTGTATATATATATATATGTACGTATGTATGTATGTATGTATGTATGTATGTACCAAGATATACAGACAAAATGCTTCAAAAAGGCCCACACCCTGAACCTGTGAACCCTAGCCCCCAGTCCTGAATGATGCTAAGCAGGATTGGGCGTATGTGACCAAAACGTACTGGCCTGGAGAAGTAGAAAATGCAGAGGCCTTGATGATGACAGCATAGGCTTTTGGGGGGTTCTCGTATAGCTATCAGAACCAATCCATGGAATTGTATTCATTATGGTTCAAGCACCCTCCACCCTAAACCCTACATCCTGGGGCCTAATCTGAACCGCGTTTGGGACACGGGTAATCCAAGTCCTCGGCTGCCTACAACTCGGAGTGGGCTTACACTAAGGTCAAGAATGCGAACTCTACAAGCCCTACAATACCAAAGGAACAAATGAGGGCACATGGTTAGGTTCGTGGCGGAATGTAACCTTTTGTTTGTTTGACGGGGCTGTCTACGATAAAAATTAGATCATTTCTTGGCTGACTTCTGAACCCCTCTCCTTATTATGGTTCATATAAAAACCCAAAAGGTTAAAGTCCTAAGAGCCAACCAGAAGAACACCAAGACTTGTCTGACTTTCCTTTATTGCAACTGTGCTGCAGATGCAGGCCGGGGTGTGACCCGGCGTGTGCATCACCGAAGCCTGCAGCAACCGGCAATTTAGGTTCAGGACTGTCGGTTTAAGGATTTTAGGGTTTAGAGTTTAGGGTCTTCACGGTTCAGGACCGCGGTTTTTCACTGGACAACAGGGCCTAGGGTGGCGAAGGGAATTCAGGGTATGGGGCTAAGTTGCGCTCGAGCTCACAAGTCAGCTCGAGCTCATAGGAGTGAGTGGTTTAGGGTTTAGGGTTTGGGGCTTGGGGTTTAAGGTTTAAGGTTTGGGGTTTAGGGGTTTAGGGTTGTGGGTTTGGGGTTTAGGGATGATGCTGGGTATGGGGTTCAGTTGCTGACGGCGACGACACTGACTGAATATTGAGAGCAGACTGCTAGAAACCGGTATGTGGTGTTGTGCTGGGGAACGCGATGCAAATGCCTTGGCTTTTTATGCTGTTTCGAGGCTTCGACAGCTCATGCTAGGCCTTTCGATGAAGCATCTCCCAAAATGACCGCCAAAACCCTAAAACCCGCTGGCTAAACACCAAACCCTAAACCTTAAAGCCGTAAGCTATCCCAAACTAAACCCCTAAGCCCAAAGGACTTTTCGGGCGTGCACTGGGGGTCTCATGGCGCCAACTTCTGTCTGGTGCTTAGTAGGGAATGGGGGAATGGATCCCTATGACAGTCCCTTAAGGTCCCTTATAGTAGTCCCTATAACCCAATCCCCCATTCCCTACTAAACCCTAAACCCTAAACCCTAAACCTTAAACCCTAAACCCTAAACCTTAAACCCCATTCCCTACTAAGCACCAGACAGACTTCGACCTGAAAATTCCACACACGGGGGTTGCAGCGATAGTCTGCGCCTTCGGCGGCTCTTCGCTGAGAAGGGAGGCTCGACTTGCAGCGAATCCCCGAGTTTCCGGGTGAACATCTCAGGCGGTTTAGGGTTTAGGGTTCGGGTGTATATCTCAAGCGATTTGGGGTTTAGGGCTTAGGAGGCAGATCTCAAGGGGCATATTTCTAGGTAGAGCTAACTTAAAGGATCAGGGAACTTAGTAGGTAGGGCTGTATTTGGATTAAACACAAGCTGAAAAGTACTGACAATACCCATCATACATACATATTAATATCAATATTCATACTAATATTCATACTAATATGAATATTCATATATATATATATACATACATATATATATATATATATATATCTATTTGTATATATATATATATATACTTCTTGATATATATATATATATATCTCTTTATATATATATATATATATCCAGCGGCTGGTTGTGGCTGAAGTGCTGCAAATGTCAAAGATCACGCACAGTCTGCTCAGCTGCATCAGGAGATAAGCGCAGGGGCGGCGATGGCTCCCACCTGAAAGTTCGATCATCGGCTGACAGAGTTTGTGATGCAGAGGTTGGGGTCTAGATTAATTGTAGTTTAGATTTTGCTTGGCATGGTTTAGGGCCGTGGCCCAGGGTCCCGCGATAGACCCGCTTGACCATCAAATCCTGCACTGATGAGATTCCTTAGCATGCAGAGACTGTGCCGTAACAGCGGAATAATTAAGTTGCCAGCGTTTCTTCATGTGGAGCTTCATGGTGGTCTTCATTTTCTACATCATATACTTCATCAGTGCTTGATCATGGCTGCATGGCTTTCCTCATCAATCGAACGACAAGACCGTTCTGTCAGAAATCATGGACACCCTGGTGAAACAATAGCTGCACACGCAAGAAAAAACGGTATTGTCTATACACACAACGACGCACATGATGCAAATCAAAAACCTGTGGGTAGCCATCTAAATCAGAAATCAGGATCCCTTGTTAGGTCCTCAATTATGGTACGGCACCCGTGCAAACAGGACCTTAAAAGGGGCCCCAATTTCAAGAACTACCCCCTCTAGTTGGAAATACCGGACAGCCGATGTCCGGTCATGCATACGGAGTGCGGTTCCGGGACATAAAAACCTAAACCCTAAACCCTAAACCCTAAACCCCAAACCCTACTGTGTGTCGCTCCGGTGATTATACCACATGCACAACCTATGGAGGTCGTGTCCTTCGGGCTTTAGGGTTAAACGCCGAATCCCAAAACTTCAGAGTAGCCTTATACTTAGGATCCTCTTAGGTACTCCCAAAAAGGAACTACTATGGGGCCTATGGGTAGGGTTAAACCCCGAATCGCAAAATTTCGGAGTAGCCGCCACGACCATGGCCATGCCACGTCCCATCGTCGCTCGGCCGGCAGTGACGCTGCCTGTTGGCTGTCAGATGGACGGCCAAAGAAAGACTTTAATACACTTAAAACGGGTCTCGTTATAAGGATACTTATGATGCTTACCAGGTTGCCTTACCTAGGTTTGCAATAGCTGAAGAAATATGTACAGTCGCAAACTATACACCACATACCTACAACTGCTTAAAGGTCAAATCCTAGACCCTAAACTATCCCCAAAATCTTCGCCCTCCCCCCAAGCAGCCGGGCCTGTCTCGAGATTGATCTCTGAAGCATCGCTGCCCTCCTTGAGTACGTGGTGGAGAACCTGGTGCAAGATCTTCATGTTCACAGGGTTTTCTAGTTCGAGGCTGGGGGGTTTAAGGGTTAGAGTTGGGGATTTTGAGGCTTCGTTGGGCTTGAAGGTTTAGGTCTGCACCTACTCAGTCTCTAAGTCTTGCAACATGGGAGTTTCCGAAAATAGGGGTACCTCATTTTGGGGGTCCTTATAATAAGGGTCCTACTATTTAGGGTACTATATTAGGGCCCCCTATTTTCGGAAGCTCCCACATCAAAAGTGCTAAGAGCACATCTGCAGGTCCTGGTGCAATTTGGGGCGCAGGGCCCTACACCCTAAACTCTAAGGTTGAACCCATGGGCCCCGAGTATGGGCCCTCAACCCTGGGACCCCTATATACCTACTTTCTACCCTATATATACCCTTAAGGGTCCCTAGAAAGGCCCAAAAGGGTCCATATTAGGGGCCCATACTTGAAACCTTAGATAAACCCGAAAGGCTTACACATTGTGGACGTTGGCCCTTTGGACTAGGGGGGGGGCTTCTCTACACTAGGGTCCCTACGAGGGCGTTCTATTACAAGAGCGACGGTTCTCTTAGGCAAGGCCCAAGAACAGGGACCCTACTTGGAGGTTCCTACTTGGAGGTTCATGGGTAGTTATAAGTAGGGTTATAAGTAGGGTAACTATAGTTATAACCCATATCAGGGGACTTGTAATCCACTTATAACTACCCCTTAACCTCCAAGTAATGCAACGAACTGCACCCATACGAACAAGTCGAACTGTGGGCCCGGTACTGGCTGAGGGCCGGGTAGAAAGGTTTAGGGTTTACCTTAAGAACCCAAAACCAACTTTTTTGTAGGCTCTTATTATAAACCCTAATATGGGATTTATAGGGACCCTACAAAAAAGTGGGTTTTGGGTTCTTAAGGTAGGAGTTTAGGCCCTGGGAAGTTTACGGGTTTAGAGTTCGGTGGACCTATGCAAGGGTTTAGAGTTTAGGGTTCGCCGTCGACTTCAGCCAAAAGAGCCTCCAGGTAGGCACTCACCCTGACATATCCTAGCGCTTGGCGACTTGAGCGTAGTGTGGCACAGCAAAAACCTTCTTCTTGAAAGCCAAACTCAACCAAGGCTCGTAGTGCGGGACACGCACCAAGCCGTGACTGGGGTTAAGCTTTGGCTTCGGTAGGGCTTAGGGTTCGGGGTGTAGAGCCGTGTAGGATTTGGGCTTCAGGGCTTCGGGTTCAGAGACTGTTTGAGAGAGTGTAGAATTGATATCTTGAGTTCAGACTGGTCAAACTCCGGACGCTGAGCCGCGCTGCAGAATCGGTTGTACCGAAATTGTACCTGTATCGGCATGCATATGTGTGTTTCTAAGCTACATGAAAAGCAAAACCCTACACCCTAAAACCCGAAACCCTGAACCCTAAACCCTGGGAAGTTCGGCAATCCGTGACGACTCAAGCTCCGAGCTTCGGTTCTACCTCAAGGTTTTAGGGTTTAGGGTTTTAGGGTTTAGGGTTTTAGGGTTTTGGGGTTAGGATTTTTGGGCTTGAACATATACTCTGCAACAATGTGCTGCGGCCTGTAGAAGCACGAGGCTATGGCAAGATAAGGCAAGTGAGGCAACAGCTGCTGGATCTGCATGTGTCGGGCAGCCTGCTCGAAGTGCTCGTCGTACAAGTTCATGGTGAACTTGCAGTAAGACCTGGCCAACCCCAAACCGTAAAACCGTAACCCGACTTTAGGGTTCAACCAGGAAAACCTATGAGGCCTTCAAGAAAAGAGCACTGCGGTTTTGGCAGCGGTTTCCAGTTGCAGGGCGTCTTCTGTTTCATGGATGCGTCTGAGGCACCGGACCTAGCTCGGAAAAACAACGCAGAAGCCTCAATCCTTCGGGGAAAGCAGGGAAGCGTTTGGGGCCAGTGACCCAAAGACTCCCAAACCCTTTTTTAAAGAATATAATACAGGGGCCTTAGTAACTAGATTAGGGTCTTGGGGCCCATTATACTCTAATTATACTAAGGAGACCCCAAAATAGTATTGGCAATTATTTAAGCCCCTATATTAATACGGGGGCCTTAATGATTAGAATAGGGTTTTGGGGCCCACTACGCTATCAGTCTAATAAGGAACCCTGAAAATAGTATAGGTGATTATTTAGGCCCCAACATGACCTTTAAATACAAAGCGATCCTTGCATGCTCTGAGGTAAAACTCCCCAATCCGGGAGTTCTGGCTTACGACACCCCTGGGCATTGGGGTTTTTGGTGAATCTATCCCCACTTGTCCTACGGTGGATGATATAAATCTTGCAATACCCATAATAAGGAATATACCGGGTATAGTTTCCGTAGTTTAGGGGCCTTAAGGAAATGCAAGATTTATATCATCAACAGTATGGTCGCAGGACTGGAGTTTGGAGTTTGGGGTTTAGGGGTCTTGGGCCTAGGGATGCAGATGGCTAGTCCTCTACATCAGGGGTCCGTGTCTAGGTCCCAATAAGGTACGGCACCCTTATAAGAAGGACCCTAAAAGAGACCCAAATTTAGGGAACTACCCATAGGCTTCTTGAGGGTTTCGCGGTGTTAGCTTAAGTTGAGTGTTTTGTGCGGGCCCCTTTGCAAGTTCCAGCTTGGTTCTGTTTAGTGTTGTAGGGTTCTTGCCCGAACCTTTAAGCTCAGGCAGACTGGAACAACGAGTAGGAAAAAACAGTCCTGGAGAAACAAACCCTACACCCGAGATCTTTAAACCCAGAACCCTGAAGCCCTGAACCCCTTTGGGCTTAGGGTTTAGGGTTTCGGGTCCTAAAAATCAAACCCTTAACCCTCAAACTGAACATGCCAGTCTATGGAGAAGTCTCAACTCGGACCTTCAACGCGTAAAGCACGCAAGAGTTTGAGCGTAAAGCCCCTGTATACCTACAGTGCCTGAGACCTTTCCTCGGAGTTCAAAAGGGAAGATCTGGGCGTTTTGGTTTATGGTTTTACGGTACCACAAACCCTCAGCCGTGCCTCCACGTCTGTGGCCCGGTGCGAACTAAGATAACCACATCCTCAGGTTAACAGAGGTTTGGGTTTAGGGTGGATTGGGCTTCGGGTGTCGGTTTAGGGTTCAGGCGTTTGGGTTGAAGGAGCTTTGCTAACCTTTCAGACACTCTTTGCCGTGGGTTTAGCGCTTTGGGTTCAGAGAGAGTTCGGGGGTTGCATGTGCTGAGGTTTTGTAAGCTTCTGAACAGCTTTGACGTGATGACCAAACCTCCCAAGAGCCTCAACGAAAAGTCCAAGATCCTCATCCTGATCCCTACGTGTACAATACCGCTAATTGGATTTAAGGTTCACAAGGGATCTGCAAGAATACTGGAGGCCTCTTTGGGTCTTGGTGCTTGTTTTTCGGGTTCAGGGCTTTGCGTGTAGGGCCTCGATAGCTTCAACGTTGAAAAACTGAAGTCCTTAAACCCCTAAACTCTGGAACCTCAAATGTTGGAGACCCTGAGGCCATACGCAGCCTTATGTTGTATCGGGTTATGTTATACTAGAGTTGTCCAGGATCAGAACAGGGTTTGCGCACGCAGCTTTTTTTGGGCACCGGCATTTCCCTTTGAGGGACTGTTTCTGCAAAGAGGGACTGACACGACTGAACAACCACAATTCCGCATTGCCGCTAATATCAGCAAGAAGACACCAATCACAGCTCTAAACCCCTAAGCCTACATCCTGTCATAAGCCCTAAACTCTCGCAAGTTGGACAGTAGCTTGAAGATGGGCCAGGAATCTCGTTGCTGGACTTGCCATGTGCTCCAAAGCTCGTCGCCTACCACGGAGGAGATCGTCCCCGTGCAAAACCTGACTTTGAACGGGGAACGGGACAGACAAAGTAAGCCTGACAAGCATAAGTTGAACCTACATCGCCCCTTGTTGGATCTCGAACTGCTGAACCTGAGCGTAACTTATTATGTGAAGCCCTACGGCCAAAGCCATGAACCTGGAGATCACATGAACCCTGAAGGGGTAACCAACACCTTATTTTAGGCCAGCTACTGAGAGACTCCCCGGCGCTTCGACCGTTAACTCAGGGGTTTAGGGTTTAGGGTTATGGTTTAACTCCAGTGATGGAGACCCCTGATTCAAAAAACATTGGCCTTAGATCCCCCAGGCGATGAAGCCTAAACCCAACATTTTTCAGACCCTGATAGAACCCTTACTTAAGACTTCCAAAGCGAAGCTTAAACCTTTCCTCTGTGCTTCACGGGGTCCGGTGAATCCTATATCATATTACCTCGTACATTGTATAAAGCTACTATACTAGGGTATATTTTGGTTTATGTTATTATGATACATATGACTCCACTTTTACATTCTATATATACTGTATCATATATTGGGTTTCTTTTCTTATTATATTCTCTATTGTACTGGACTCTATATGATACTGTATTCTTGCGTATTGCTTGATACGGTATATATAGTACATATTGTATATATGTTTGCGTATATATATATATATATATATATACAAACAGTTTGTCACAGGAGTGAATCGTGGCCCCAACTCGATTGTCGGCCTGATGCATGCATCAAAAGATTGGATATTAAGACATAATTAATACTTGTTACATATGATTTGTTTTATGTTATCTGTTTTCTGAACTATGTTACATAGTAAATACCAAATATTTCATATGTTATGCTTTATGTTAAACACTATATATTAAATATGCAATATGACAGGATATATATATATATATATACGAGTATGCAGCAACCAAAACTGAGCATTAGATGGTGAAGATACTACAAATTAACACGTTATATACCGTATATGATGAAATATGTGATACATGTTCAGTGTAAGATAGCATGCTATATGGGGTAATCTTATGCCACATGTTTTCATGATGTGCTATATTGTCTGATATAATCCTATTTTGATACTAGATTGTATTATACTGCACTTTACGTTACAATTATGTTTTCCAAACTGATATGAGATTTCGTATGACGTTGTCTAATAAATCTTCTATGCATTTTATTCACATTGTGACATACTACATACATACATACTGTATACATAGTATGTACATATTGTACGTGTGTACATACATACATACATACATACATACGTACGTACATACATACATACATACATACATATATATATATATATATAGGGGCCACAAAAGTTGGAGGAGGGATTAGACTCAGGGTTTGGGCTTTCTACACTAGAACTAGTACACACCATAAACAACTCAGGATCTTACACCTTGAGGCACAATGTTGCTAAACATACCCCTTCATTAGTGCTGTAGGGTGAAGACATGTGAAGACTCTAGCTGCCAGGCTTTCATCCGAAAGTCCATGCCAGAACCTGAACAAAAAACTGCATGTGGACTGCCGTAAAACAACATCCCAACCCAATCCTACGCTCTAATCCTCAAATCCCCAAACACTAACCCTCACCCTCTTGAGCTAGGTTCCCCAGTAGCCCCTATATCATGATGGTACCCTTTTTCCTACTATTCGGTTTTAATGAGGAAACCCCGAAACAAAAAAGGCAAAAGGGTACTACTGGGGAAGCTAGTTAGCAAGCATGAGGATAAGCCCAGCAGCAAGTAATTGTGCTGCGCGTAATCATTCAGACCGACACCGGCGACCAGCGTCCGAGCCTGCAAGCCCGGATGAGATTTGTAATGTAGGCGCCTTGATAATTAGAATAGGGATTCAGTGTATATTATAGTATAATTATAATAAGGAACACCCAAAATAGCATAGGTAATTATTTAGGCCCCTATATGATGTGTTCCAAAGGTTCTGTCAGGGTCTTGCAGCATTTACGTGTCACCTTAAACCCCAAGCCCATGCAACCCCAACCCATGCCTTAGCCGTCGCTGTAAGATCTGAGCCTCAAGCCTAAAGCATGGAACTTCCAACCATCCTCCTCTTGGAGTCTTCGAGTTTAGGGTTACTGTTTGGGGTTTTAGGTTGGAGTTAGATATGGCTGGTTGTCAAAATTATGGTCCCCTTTTGGGTCCTTATTATAATACGGCACCTATTATTTAGGGTACCCCAAAAGGGACCCTAATTTTGACAACCACCCATATGTAACTTATGATGGGCCTACTCCAAAGCTGTGTTCAGCCAGGCTTGAGAAAACCCTTGTGGTTTGGGGGTGTCTGAACATAGGGGACTCTCATATAGTACCCTAAATAATAGGATCCTTAATATAGGGACCCCAAAATAAGGTACCCCTAATTTTCGGAAACTCCCATTTGTAGCCTGACTATGAAAGCTCTGACGAAGCACGGTTTCCTCCAGTAGCTTGAAGCGTCCTGATATGCTGTAGGGGCCTTAATGATTAGCATAGGGTTTTGGGTAGGGGCCTTCATGATTAGAATAGGGTTTTGGGGTATATCATATTATAAGTCTAAAAAGCAACCCCCAAAAATAGTATTAGGTACTAATTAAGACCCCTATAGCCTATATCAGAAGCCTTAAGAAGCACACATGGACATCTTGTTCCGGCAGGTTCCCTAGCTGGAGGCCCAGGGATTTAGTAAGTAGGGTTTAATTAGAGTTATAGGTACACGAATCGGAGGTATCCCAATTATTCCTATAACCCTACATATAACCGACTTTCTTACTAAGTCCCCTGGACCTCAAAAAATAGATAGAATAGGGTTTAGGGTTTAGCTTCCCAAGACATCGGCCTTTTCTGCAAGCCTTTGCGTTCGACGCTAAACCCAGATCCTGAAACTCGGAACCTCTTAAGATGCGTTAGCTTGAACCGAAGCTTTCTCAAACCAGCATAAAAGCAACACAACTTCACTAGTCTGATAATCATGGGGACTTCTGTAGTAAACCTTAGGCCCTAAACCCTACCCCAAACTCAATCCTACTCTCTAGCCCAAACACTAAATCCTCCAGCTATACCCCTGCATGTCCTCAACCTGTAACCCTAATTCCTCAACCCAAAAGAGCCCGAAAACTTCCGACACCCGCATCACCAAACAACATCACCCTAAACCCGAAACACTACCCTAAACCCTAAACCCTAAAGACCACCCTAAACTCTAAATACCCTGAACCCTAAACCTCAAAATCTAACCCCTACAACCTTCGCAACCCTGATGCGACCTAACCCCTAAAACCCCAAAACCCCAAAACCCTTGATGTGCCCCTCAAAACCTAACCCCTAAAACCTTAAAAACCCTGATGTGCCGACCTTCCACTCGCCTGATAAACGCTGCCAGGCATCGTACCTATAGGGTTTGGGTTCAGGGTTTAGG